TAAATTAAACTAAAATTATAAAAATTAGTATTTTATGAAAAATGTCAAAATTTCATCATTAGAACACTCCCACAACCCTTAGGAACAAACTTTGTTAAGAGATTTTCTAAAAAGCAACATTTCGCAAAAACCCTAATTTTAGAAACCCTAAAAATCCTTAGAGAAAAGCACATTCTCAGTATAAAACTCGTTCATAATTTCCCTCTTTAATTTCTTAAAGAAATTTTCATGATTCCACAAAACTCTAAATTCTTCATCTCAAAAATCTATTGACATAAAGATTTGTAAGTTAGAAATGCACTTAATTGTCCTTAGGCTTTCTCCTACAAATCCTTTCAAGAATCTCGTCGGAGAGCCGCCGTGCCTTGCATGGCATTCCGCCCTCTCCCTTTCGTGCGCCTTCTCTCAGTTTCGTCGCACGGATCGAATGAGTGAACCGAATAAATTCGGTCTTCTTAATGCTTTGGGGTTTTTAGGTTTTTGCAATTGACCATTTTACCCTCACTTAAGCACTCCAAGCAATAATAACCTCTAAAGGTATTATTGGTATTATGAACTATCATATGAATTTAATATTCCATAAGATTAAGCCAAATTAAATACAAGTTTTATATATCAAATTTCTTAGAATTTTTCAAAATTATTTCCATCGAAATTCGACAACATTGAATTTTTCACTTAAAACTCGTCGCGGCGTTTTGAAAGTGTGGCGATGCTCAACGGCATTTTTTCGGGTTTTCACAATCTTCATTCCTAATAAAATTTCCCCGAAATTTACATAACTTCTAGTTGCAAAATAACCCAACAGCTTCCATTTCATTAACATAAACCTCAACATTGAAACAGAACAAACTAAACATCTGAAATATTTTAACAAAATAATCTGATCAATCCCAAAATATTTGACATGACATAACGAGATAAATTACAAAATCCAAAACATCAAATTTATCATTACAAGTTACAAAAAATAAACTATAAAGCCATCTCAATTGTCATTGTCAGCATCTGCAGATCCTTCGGGCTCTTGCTGAGTAAAGTGTAAACTCGCGGTCTAACATTCTGCCTAGATTGATTTTGTACTGAACCTGCAACTGATGGTTCTATCATCTTGGGTTTTTCATAATTCCTCTGTGAAGATGCTTCAACTGATCTCATTCCTCCTGAAGTCTTCTGAGCAAAAGCAGGACAATATTTTGCTATGTATCCAGGCTGATGACACCAATAGCAAGTGTTGGAACCAATCAAACATTCACTTTTATGTAATCTGCCACACTTAGCACAAGGTTCAGTGACTTTACTTACAGTTGCACCACTACCTCCACTAGAACTAAACTTGGGCTTCTTCCCATTTGCTCCCTTAGTGTGGTTACTTTGAATATCCTCTTCAGAATTCTTCCTTTTCTGAAAATCTCTTCTCCTCTGAGTACTCTGCAAATCCAGCTCAATCTTTCGTGCTCTCTCAACTAAAGTAGAGTAATCTTCAATACCCAAGGGAACCAATGGCTGTCTAATGCTATCCCTCAAGCCACAAAGGAAGCGGTGGCATTTCTCTTATGCATTAGAAATTAGATGAGAGGCATACCTAGAAAGCATCATGAATTCAGCCTCATACTCTGTGATGGTCATTGTCACCCTGCACCAGTCTATTAAATTTGTCTTCCATTGACCTCCTAGCAGTCATTGGTACATACCAATCTCTAAACACTTTGACAAATTCCTCCCATGTTATTTGGCTGCTAGGTCTCCCACCAAAAGTTTCTTCCAACTGACTTTTCCACCATCTTTCTGCTTCCCCATTGAAGGCATAAGCAGCTAAGGCTACCCTTCTATCCTGGCCGGGTCGTGACAAAGTTTAGGCCCCCAATTGTGGGCACATCATTTGCTTGATTTATCACTTATGATGTTGACATTAACGTATCAAGGGAGTAGGAGGAAATGCCATGTTGCAAGTTAGATTGCAGAACTATGGGATGCATAAATTTTGGAACTCAGGTAAAACAAAATGTCCTAAATTATTAGATTGTTATGCTATATATATAAAGAAAATTAACAAAAAGGTTTCACAAATAAACCTTAATTATATCCCCATTAAAATAGGCTTTTTTTGAGAAATTTGAAGGGCATGCCCAGTACTCTACTTGGTAACCACATGGAAGGGAGGGGAAGCACATTGAAGCTATTATTCTTAATGGGACATCGAAAAAGAACTATGAAATATAATTTGACAAAAGTGACATGAACATTTAGGTTAATTTTCTGTCCTGAAAAGCTGCAGCACCAATAGCCATGAAAAGTCATTCCAAATTTTGATTGAGCTTTCAAAATCAGATCAAAGCCTGCATTTGGACACTATAAAATTATTAAGGTTCTTTTAACCCTTCAAACGGAGCTTTAGTCACATATTTCTTTATGTAAAAATTGAGTTTTCAAGATTGACATTGCACAACAACGCTGAATTTAAAGTTATGAACTTATGATTTACATAGGCCATTGAATGCCACATGAGGTTTTATCGTGTTTTTGGGTGAATGAATTGGAAATTTTGTGGATTTATTGTTGAGCTTAGTTAAAAGTTTTATCATGATAACTTCCTTTGCCATTTATTCTTATTCTATCAGTTAGTCAATCATATTTATTATTTTCTTTGTTAAAAATTGACATGGATTGGATTGCCAAAGTGATATGGTCTATCACTTTTTAATATTTTTAGATTGCTATCAAGATAGTTTTCGATCTATTATGGAAATTTGATTTTATATATCCTATAATGCTTAAAATTTGTAGAAACATGGCTGTTGTTTATTTCTGGAGAACATATGACCAAAAGTTTTGTTAGAATCAAAATGCCTCCTGCTCTAGATTGTGGACTATTTTTTTTTTAAAGTTTGTCGCTACAAAATATTGATTTGAATAACATTCATTCAAAAGTATAAAGCATATGTGATAAAAAAATTAGATTCTTGATTTAGTTTTATTTGAACCCTAATTGAAAATTAATCTTTCATATTTGATTTTTTTTTTCGATCATGATTTGAACAAGGTTTGAATAAGAGATTATTAGAATTTTTTTTAAAATAGTTGAATTATAGGTTCTTATAATGTTCATTCAATATTCGAATAAGGTTTGAACCTTTTAAACATTAGAGTATAGTATAGAAGATAACAATTATAATAGCTATAATACAATGGATTTTAAGGCAAAAACTGCCAAGGTTAAAATTTTAATAAGAAGCCTTATATTAAGTTAAAGTAGCTATATTGACATTTTGAGTATAATTGCAACTTCTATAAAACAAGACAAAATTAGATACAACCGACTACAATAAGAACATTTATAACACAGTTATATCATTATATAATACCTAGATTTGATAATATGTATATCACTATAAAGTGCTCAAATCTGACTATATCTATATCACCATAAAATGTGCTCTTGAAGATCTTTAGAATTGAAATCATTTTCATCAAGCAATAGCAAAGGTTTGCTCGATTTATTATTGTAAATTCAAGCCAACAAGCTTTGCATTGATCTTCAGTAGCATATCCATTGAAATCGCATATCTATTGAAATCAGTTGCACATCCACTGAAAGCAAAATAATGCCTCCCCCTCCCTACATGTATGATTAACATCAACACTTTAAGATACTGTGTGCTTGCATCTCATATTTAACATGATGATGTCATTAGTTCAAATGGCTCAAAATACCTTATGATTTTTTCCATCTTACCCCTACCTCTTTACGCAACTCAAGCATGCATTGTGAGACAACTCAAATGGGTTAAATCACAAAGGAGAAGCGGAGTACAAAATAATAAATTCAAATTTTGGTCGAAGTTCATCGAACACATGATTGAAACTTGATCAACCTTGCTAGAGGTTGTTTAAAGCAATGTCGTATTGATTGAAACTTTTAGTCTTGATCGAGCTATCTTTGAATTATGATCAAATACTTTTCGACTATTGTTTGATCATATTTCTGAAATATAAAGAAGTTCTGAAGAATATTTGATCTATTTCAATCAAGGGTAGAATATGTTTTGAGCAATATTTGAAGCTAGTAATCTCATATATAATATTTTTTTAGATTTAGGGTTCAAATTATAAACGTATAACATTGCTAATTGTCAATTACAATTGCCTGCTAGCCAGAGTCAGAGATAGGAGATGAAAATATTGCATTAAAATTTTGCCTTAGAATTATCACTTACAAATGAGAATAATCGGAGAAGAAGGCCTTGAAATTTCAACGGGTTGACCAATTTCTTGCATGAAAGGTTCCTTGTATAGGGAAATTCAAATTAGGAGGGTTGTTTTGGGTATTTTGCTGTTTTTTTATGTTTTAAGGAGGATTGTAAATCGGGGGTTAGGTCATCTTGTATTAGTTGAAGTTTGGAGGGTTCTTATGAGTGTTTGGGCTCTTGTTGCCGGCTAGGGTAGATCAGATCCTCTCCAATTGAGGATTCATTTTATCTTGTGTCTTTCTCCTATTTCATCAATTAAAAGGATTTTTCTTCGTTATTTCTCTTAATTCTTCTTGTAAATTGCATTTGGAGTGCTGTAACCTCTTCTCCAAATGAAGATCCATTTTATTTTGTTTGTCTTTTTCCTATTTCATCAATTTAAAGGATTTTTTCTTCTGTTAATTTTTGTTGGAGATTGTATTTGGAGTGTTGTAACCTCTTCTTCAATTGAGGATCCATTATATCTTGTCTTTCTCCTATTTTATCAATTAAAAGAATTTTTTCTTCCGTTATTTCTCTTAATTCTTCTTGCAGATGATATTTGGAGTGCTGTAATTTAATTTCAACAAAAGGGAATTATATTTCTGCATCCACTTCTGACCCAACTCATTTATAATACCGAGTGTTCTGGTCTTCTTATACTTCTCTCTGCATAGCTGCACTTTGTCAGCTTTATTGAACTCGTTTGGTAGATTATTACGACTTATTTATAATCTGTAATCATAGCAAGATGGGTTTGTATAAATGAAGGCTGGTGCTCGTGCTGGTTGTTCCATCAGCGTCTCCAGCAAGTGCAAGACCCCCTGGTGGAAAATCATATTAGGTACCAAACAAATGGATTTCAAGGAGAGGGAGCAATGTGAGGAGCGCGAGATGTCTGCCTGCATGGCTTTGGCTGAGGATGCTTGCATTAGTTTTGCCAAGGAAAAATGCAATCATGCTTTTCAGAAAGCAAGAATTGCCACTGAAAGCTCATCAGAAGTTGGAAATGCTGCACTTGAGTGAGTCTCAGTGGAAGGGGAAATTATTGGGTTGGGACACTGGACGAAGTCTGGAGTACAATGAAAATGTGCCACTCACCTCTTACTGGGTATTGAGCTCAGTATGAGCTCGGTACTTCACAGTACCAGTACTGAGGTACTGCTCGGTATTGTGAAGTATCGAACTCCATACTTCACAGTATCGAGTTTAGTATTACTCAGTTCTCTGAAGTTCCGAATGATAAATTTTGTCCAGTGTTCGGACCCAATAATCTCCCTAGTGGAAGATGAGTGGTTAACCAACTACAAAGGTTCTAAGCTATTGATGGGTTCTTTTGTTGACTGCACTTCTTAAACTGTTTTTATGTGCTTTTTTGTGCTGCTTACACATTAAGGATGTTTGTTCTTGTGCTGCTTACTTTTTTGTGCTGCTTACACTGTTTTTTAGAAGTAAATTTTTAATACAAAAATTTTAATTCGAAAATTACTTTAGATTATACCAAATGAAGCTTTAATGATTTCTCCAAACAGAACAACAATTATTAAGTTATGATAAAAGTGTAAAATAATGGTACGTTTAATTTCTTATTTAAAAGCATTGGTGTTGAATCATATTGAGTAAATAAATCCAGGGTTGGAGTATTAGCACAATGATTCCTTTTCACTCAATTGAATTGATTTTTGCTTAGATAAAGCAAAAATTGATTTTTACCTTAAATTAATGTTTTATTTGGAATAATTTTATATAATTATTTTTGTCTGTTTCAATAAATTTTTTATTAAAAAAAAAAATTTATAAAATAGAAAGAAAATTGATCCAAATGAAGCCTAATTCAATGGGAGATAAACCTCGGGCTAGATAGTAGGAGCATAGATATAATCAAGCTAATTTGAAAGCAGCTCAAAAAGTAAATGATATATCCATTTTAAAAAATTAAAAAGAAAACTAATAATTTTAAGTCAACTTGATTCAAATTTGATGGCTCAAAATCAAATCAATTTGAGCAACCAGCAAATTTGAGCCGATCATTCAATCTATTTTTTCAGTGGGCGCTGAATCAATTCGAAATTTCTCATCCCTATGTGGACCCAATGAGTGCTCACCTTATAATTACCACAATAATTATGTAGTTGACGGTAAAGGATCCATGCACACTCCTGCTCTAGAAAAATTATTTTGTGCGGATACCAAAAAGTTAGGAGATCAATCAGAATATATCACATCACTTATTACACAGCGGTACCAATCTGAATCCATGCAGAAATCTTTGAAGCAGCAGACCAATAGGTTAAATGTTTAATCAATAAGCAAAGAATATAGAGAAAAACTAAAAACAAATACATTTCCTCTGGGGCAGACGTTCAAGGCTTCTTAGCACCACATCTTTTAACAACGTATGGGCCTTTTAATGAAATCCACTAAAATGAAAGCTTCTGCTATTTTATCTGCAATACAATATCCATAAGCCAGGTCAAGAAAGAAATTCCTTCCCCAGCAACGACGTTGGACTCTCAAAAATCCGGCCACTGGGAGCTAGGAAATCTCGTCACCAGCAAAGAAAGTAGAAACCTCATGAACATACGCTTTAAAACATGTAATCGTGCGCATCTCTGTCATCTCCTCTCCGACTTGCATCTTGTAGTACATCACCAGCAAGCACTCTCTTGTTGATTTTGGCCCTTTGGACAAGACGAACCAATGCTTGCACTACTTCGGACATGGGCGGTCTGAACTCCGGCTCAGGCTGTCAAACAGGGCAAATTATTACGTGCGGAGTCCGTACGTGGTCCAGAGACCAATAAAAACATGTCACGTCACCTCAAAAGTGTACCGTGCTCGGTACCAAGCACAATACCGAGCGGTACTCGGTATTGCTTGGTACCCTGCTCGGTACCGGACGGTTCTCCCATCCGGAGTCCGTACAGAATAATCTCTCGTCAAACAGGGAACACATGTTGTTATTATTGCTATTGTGGCGAGTTTTTTCAAGCAAAAATGCATGAATGGGCTCCCGATCCGAGAAATCTATCTCAAGGGAAGAAAAAAAGGCAATGCAATTTGATAGCAACATTACCTGAACACATAGGGCAATAACGTCAGCAAATCGAGAGAGAGATTTTGCGGGGTACAGCCCTTGGAGTTGTGGGTCGACCATCTTGTCGAGAGCATCAATGTCATGGAGCTGAGGGGTAGCCCATCGAACCAAATATTGCTCAGATCTTGGTCTTGCGCTGCCATGATGAAGTCACAGCAATCATAGAAATTTAATGAAGAAATGAGTTTATAAGTATTAGTTTTGAGACTGAAATGAAGAGGATCTGCAGAGCAGAACAGAACCAAATTGATTAAAATGCACTTCTGTGAGTAAAAAATACAATGGATTTACCTATCAAAAGGCTTTCTTCCGGTCAGGAGCTCTAGCATGACCACTCCAAAGCTATACACGTCGCTCTTCAGAGTGTACTGGCCAGACATGGAAACCTCCGGAGCACTGTAGCCAGAACTCTGGTTATGATGTGCACCCTACAAAGTGTTAAAAAAATATTTTTAATTTTTGTACTAGAAAGCTGTTTTAAGAAGTAATAAGAAAGTTGTCCCAAATGAAGCCTAAATCTGATTGTTTGAAAGCATTTTGTTGAATTGCCTCAAATTGGATATTATCTGAAGACATCTGGCAATTGAAAACTTGCATACCATTACCATCCAACATACAAAAATAATTGCATATAGATAACTAAAAACCAGTTGGCTTTAGAAAATAAGTAGATTAATTTTTTTTTTCTTCTTGAGGGTGCGAGGAAGATGAAGGTGTATTTCATATCACAATTAACGGATAAAATTATTAGTTCGAAATTTAATAAAATTAAAAAGAAACAAATTGGTAGAAGGAAATAATAAAAGATGGTCAACTCAAGAGAATAAGTCAATTTCCCCACTAATATAATAGAGCTGTAGCATTCCAACTTTTAGGGCTAAATATTTCTTTCTTTCCATGCTTTAATATATCAAATACGAATCTATACAAAGATCTTTGTTCACGTTTGTGCGTCTTCAATTCAAATTTAACAATTTGAATCAGAGCAAAATTGAATCCATCAGAATAATTTTGGTTGATGAACTTTGCGTTTATGATGGATGTTTGATTGGTATCAGTTATGCATAGGAACCTTAATTGACCGATAGTACATACTCAAAACTAGAATGATTGTATTGGACTGTGCTTTTTACATGAATCCTTCGATGAGTTGGGGGTTGTTTCATTGCCTGTTAAATGGTACTTAGGAGTGGGCAATCTGAAAATTATAAGTTCAACGATTTTGCTTATGGATAACCAAAGATCCTCCTAGTTTCATGCATCAATAAAATTGCTGAAGTTCAGTAAATAAGTTGTGAACCATTTATTTCAATTCTAAGGGCCATAGAATTTATACTTGCAGACAGGCAGAAATATGTCAGCTATGCAGGAAAACTATACAGCAGCTGCATGTAAATCTGCAATTTGGAAATATGCTCAAAGGTTTACCTGATAGTCAGCATTAGGGATAAGACATGCAAGTCCACAATCTGAAAGGTGAGGATTAAGCTCCGCGTCCATTAAGATGTTGGTTGAATTGAAATTTTTGTGGACAACAGATGGAGAACAAACTTCATGCAGATACCTGGAAACATTCATTGTAAGTTATGATGAAACAGCAGCATCATAAAACTTAATTCTGGCTAAATTTCAGTTTTCAGAAACCTATATTAAGCAGATTACAATAACAACTTTGGCAGCATTTAGGAGTACATAAACGAGGAAAGTTGGATCAGCGTTAAATATATTTTTAAACATATTCAAAGTGATGTTCCTTATCTGAATTATATACATGACAGCTCTACCTAGGAGACATCTCTGCTAAAAGATGTGAAAAATTAGAACAATATAAAAGGTTTTTAAAGATAATGGATTTGGATTATAAGGAAAAAAAAATCAAGTATATGATATATGATCTAAGTTGGTATGAAATTGATAATTATCAATTAATATGGCTAAAAGATCCACTGATAACCGATTATAGAAATATGGATATATAGATGAGGTTATTTCTAAAGTTCAGCGTGTGTGATAAAAATGAAAAAGTTCTTCAAGAATACGTGACCATGTAGACATAAAATAAAAATAATAAGCTTAGATGCATCGTTAACTCCAGTAATAGAAACTTATTCATAAATTCCACTTTCAGAATTGCTCAATGATCCAACAAAAGACGAAAAGTATAACTGCAAGCGGAGGCAGTTTAATGGCACAGGTCTGTAGCAGAATAAGAACTTGGCAATAGTAGAGAAGTAGGAAATCAAGTATTGGTAGGCATAACGGCAGCCTGGTTAAAATAGCAGGAAGACAACGGCACTTAGTGGGTAATAACAAAGGTGACACTTGTAGGTAGCAGCAAAGAAGTGATTAGCATGAAAAATAACAGGTGTCCAATGGGAAATAGCCGACATAAACAGGAAAACCATTGTAAAAATAGTGGAAGCAATAGATGTAAACATAAGGACAACATCAGCATAATGGAATTGCAACAATGAATGAAAATAGGAATAACAATTAATACTAATTAGCAATTCATATAATGGCAGCAATTCTGAACTCCATATGTGCTAATTAAAATTCAACTGATTGGGCTGAAACCATCCAGTAATGAATTAAACCTAACAGACTTCTCAAATACCTGCGAATACATTCAGTTGTTGTAGCAGTTATCATCAAAGGCATATTTTACACTTGAAATGCACTAGAAAAAAAAAATTAATACATACGAATTGCATTCTCAATGGCACATTTTTGTATTTTACTCTTCCATTTTTTTTTCTCTTGTTTGGACATTTGAATTGATATCATTTCAGTTCCCCCTTGACCCTAGTGCATCTCTATATTTGCTTGTATCACAAATGATAAAATGATAGGGAAAACTTCACAAAATTTTTCATTGCTAGAACCTCTTATCTTAATAAAAAGAATAGCTTGAGTTCTCCCAAAAGGTCAAAAATGTACGTCAAGGTTCTCCGTTCTTCACTTCGAAAATTAAATGTTACGCAAGAAGTATTTGATTTTGTAATTTTCCTTTAAATTTTATTATTTTTATCAAGTCTATTGGAAATGGCTTAGAGGGTGTCCTTGTACACAATCAAGATAAGGGTATACTTTCCCAATAAAATAGAAGGTGACGTAATAGTTTTTCAACATACTTGCAAGTGAAAAGTGTTTTTTGGATTAGTGCAATCCTAAGAAAAAGCAGCAGTTTTTATTCCTAACAGAACAGAAATTCGGCACATTACAGTGCAGGAATTACTGTTATTCAGTCGGCACAGTGAGAACGCTCCATTAGGCGGCACAGTGCTGCGGGTCTAGAATTTTTGTTGGGTGTGGAGTGCGGACGTAGCTCTGTGTGTGCAACCCTATAGCTGGCCGCCACATGGAGCAAACCTTGACCCCACCAATCTCTTAAGCACGTGTGCTTTTTCACCTCGCGGCCCGATGACCCGAACCGCCTGAATAATTGAAAAAATGCGCGGTACCCATTTCTTTGAGAAGATCCGAAACGCCTCTTCCAGTTTTACTTTTTCGGGCGATTTGCTAGTCTACAATCCATTCTTCCACAAGGAGAAGTTGCAGGCTATTATTTATCTTCCACACGAAGCAACTTCATCTTCTACATGAAGCATCTTGAGTCTTCATCGTCTAAATGGGCAAGGTATGTTTTTTCTATAGTTATATGTAATTATCACGTTTTAGGATTTGAATGTAATTTTTGCTTTATGCTCGGTAAGTTAAAAGCATTGTAAGTTCCATAAGTTTTTATAGTTCTAGGGTTTGTCGTTAGGTTTTTTTTTTTTATTCTTCCGCTTTGTTCCTTTTGAGAAGGTCTGTATGGAATCTCGGTACTGCTCGGTACCTTCATGTTTTTGTAGGTAACGCAAGGTATCCCTTGGTACCTCTCGGTACTGGTCAGTACCGCTCGGCACAGGTCGGTACCGCTCGACACCGGTCGGTACCGCTCGGTACTTAGAAGAACCTGACCTTGAATGAAATTTTTCCTAATCAAATACATCATATTACGCAAGGATATGTTCCGAAGACTAGCTTCCGTTGCAGAACGTCAACTTTTGGAAACGTCTGTGATTATTTAGTCGAAATATTTGGCGAAAACCTTGTGAAGAGTTTGAAGCAAAATAATCTTCATCACTTTCTTTTTATGCCACGATTTGTACAGAATGTTCCATTGGTACTCAGGTTGTTGTCGTGCTGCGTTATTAAGAAGCAATGCTTTATCATTAAAGAGCAGAAGTTACCATTTACTACCGATAAAGTTGCTATGATTTTAGGCTTACCAAACAGAGGAAACAATTTTGAAATAGGTAGCGCTAGAATAACTGGAAAATCAGCTAATGATATTAGGAAAGAGTTTATTAGTTTAGATGAATCAACTCCACTGCTCGATGTTGTGAAGAAATTCATCATTTTTTTGTTGACAAATCTTTTTTTTTTCCTCTGCACAACTATCGAACACCAGCATTTATTCTAAGTGTGGCACGAAATATTGACAAATTTTTATCTTACAATTGGCCGGAATCAATTAGAGAATTCCTTGTAGCTGACTTTGATGCAATTGCTCAAAAAGTTGAGCAAAGGACAACCACTTGGTTATATAAATGGCTTTGTTCAAGTTATAATAGTGAGTACATTGAATTGAATTAGTTTTGTATTTATTAATGATGTTGAATATTTGAAGATATATTTTATGTTGCTATTGTTATGTTTGGGTTCAGATATGGTATCTAGAACACTCTACAGTCCACAAACCATTGAATTCGAAATCAAGACTAAGGTATCTCCGATGGGGTTGTGATGTAGTTTATAATGAAGCAAAGGCTCCTAGTTTATTTGAAGGTCTTAAAGCTGCAGATTTATTAATTTATTTTAATGTAATTACAAGTGAGGAGAGGAAATTATTAGCAAATCCTCCCCCACATACATCACATGACAGATTCCCCAATTTACAACTTATCTTGCGCAAACCTCTTGTACAACTTTCGTCACCTTCAACATCACCCACACCCTCGAGACCTCCAAGCTCAATCAGCCCAGCACCACCAAGCACCCAAACACCACCTATGTCACCTGGGCAGCAGCAGCAGCCGACTCCCCCAACGCAACCAACTTCCCCAACTGATGTACACCATGATAGCAGAGTTGAATATCTCCAGAAGGTTTTGGATCAAAATAAATTTCATCAGAAAAGGTTAGTAAGCATGGAAACAATAATATATCTGAATGAACGAAGAATGGCGGCAGTTGAACATCATGTTTTTGAGAAAAGAGAGATGGTTAAGAGATTCGAAGCGATGGAACAGTTCTTATCTGAGAACTTTCCAACATTTAACCCCTTCTTGACTTCAGATGTACACGCTCAATCTTCTTCCAAGGCTCTGACTGATGAGAGGAAGAAAGTTGTGTGTGAATGCGTGGATATAAATATAGAGGTCGTTGCTGAATGCTAAGTATAAATGTATATATCTATTGTATGTAAGAGTTTATATGTATTATATAAAGAATTTATATAAGTCATATGTTAAAAAGAATCTTCATTTCAAGATATTTCCACCTATAGAAATCTTTAAATACTCATTTTAAATTTTATTTTTAATATGATTCATTCAAATTTGCATATGATTGCTGATACAGGAAAACTTAATTATTAACATACATAATATAAAATTAGGACAAATTTTAGAAAGGATCATTATTAAAAATTTAATTAGGAGAAGGGACATGATTAAAAAAAATTTTAAAAAGATCATACACGCAAATCTACTTTGCATTTTTAGTTAAAATAAGAAAACGCAAAACAATTTTGCATTTTTCTCTTAAAACACAAATTTTTTTTTTTCGTTTTCAGCTTAGATAAATGTAGAGAAATGAATGATAGTCATGAAAAAATAGAGAAAAAGTGGAAAAAGTAGAGAGATGGAGAGAGAGAAGTAGATAGAGAAACAAAGAGAGAGAGTGAGAGTGAAATTTCTTTAAATTTAAATAACTTAAATTTTTAGTTAAATTTGAATTAAATTTAAATTTTTAGTAAATTTTAATTATATTTTAAATATTTAATTACCTTTAAATTAAATTTTAAATATTTAACTTTTAATTTTTAATTAAAAATAAAAACATGAAATTATTTTGCATTTTCAAATTTTAATCAAAAACACAAAATATATTTGCGTGTATGATCCTTTTTAAATTCTTTTTTAATAATGATCCTTCTCCTAATTTAATTTTTAATAATGATCCTTTTTAAAATTTTCCCGTAAAATTATCAACTTAACCATTATATTTCTAAATTATCATCAAAACCATTGTACAAGAAGATACCATATATTCTTTTATTTAAAACTTTGCAGTAATTACCTCCTAGCCGATGTATCTCCTCAATTTCTCTACTTTGCATTATTTTACGATTATAAGTAACTTCAAAACCTCTCTTCTACATATATTCAATGAATCATAAAATATAATTGGTTTATTTGCTTTAGGAATTTTTATCAACTTTTTGAAAATGTGAAGGACAACTACAAACATTATCAAACAAACAATTTGCTTACCTCTTTCATCTTCTCTCAATTTCCTTCTTTCCCTTCTCTTCTTCCACTAAATTTCTTCTTCACTTCTGTTAGTTCCTTGATTGCCTAAAGATTCTACACTCCTTTCTCTATCACTGTCGTTTCTCTACTTCCCCTTAATCCCACTGCCAAATTCTCAAAACAATAAGCCAAAATGCACTACAGGAATTCTATGCCTGAGCTAAGCTTCTTATCCGAACTCTGCTACAGAACCCAGCCTACCGAAATCCCTTTGCTTACACTGCCACTATGCCATGAATTGCTACAGGATTTTCTTCTTTATGCGATATTTTCTTCAGGCACTGTACCAAGTCCACAGAGAATGTCGAATCTTCCTACAGAACTTTTGATCTGTGCCGCCTTCCACCCACAGGCCACTATGCCGAACATTGAAACAATGCAAACTGCACTACACCGAATCTATCTAAACATCTATTCAGGAAATTAATTAGATATTGAATTTTACTATATTTCTTAAGATAATTACTAATAATTACTTAATAGTAATCTAATTATTTATAAAAAATCATAATTCCACTAAAATAAATTTTATTTATCTGATCAGAGATTTTGGATATTACACTAGAATCCTAAAGCAGAAGAGAGTACTTGAAAGAAAAATAAAAAAAACATCCACCAGAAAAAAAGTGTTAACTTACTCTAACGCCCTTGCACTGCCAAGTGCAATCTTCACACGAGTGTTCCAACTCAACGGATTGCTATCCTCATCAACGAGATGTAGGAGATCCTGCAGGGAGCCATTCTTGTAGAAGTCATACACCAGCAAGTGCTGCCCATGCTCACAACAATAGCCGACCAGCTCGGAGATATTTGGATGATAAAGCTGTGATATGGTTGAAACTAATTCAATGAATCCCTCATATGACTGCCGGGGTAATGAAGAGGAATATATTTTCTTTACTGCCAAAACCTGTTGAGAAAGATAAATATGAAAATATAAGCTCTCTCCCAGAACCACATCATTCTCTTCTCTTTGCTTGAAGTAATAACTATTATTAGAATTTGCATGTTAAAAGAAACATTCCTGGATATGGTTATTAAAGGAGGTAAAATAGCATGACCATGTGAATACAAATTTAAATGAAAAAAAAACCTCTAGTGAAGGTCCAACTTTTCTATTTTTCTATTTTATAGAAATGATATTTATTCTAACTGTGTGCATTCCTCGTTTTGATAATAGCAGTTGCCACAAACCACTAAATGTAGTATGGTGCTTGATGTTTAACGGATTGCCAAAAAATCTTATCAAATCAGCACAAATGTCAAGGTAGCACAAATCTCGAAGCGACTTGATTCAAACCCAAATGAACACTGAAGCACCTCAAAAGGAACTTATGGCAAGTTGTAAAAAAAAAGACCCCTTCATAAAAAAGGACTTGCTCATTACTTAAGGTAGCATGAAAAAAATTGTAATAATCTTGACAGACTCAAATCATGGAGTTACGAGATTAGCTGCAAAATGACAATTATTGGCGATGGGAATCACTTTTCTACAAAAAGAATCATCTTATCCTTTTCTTTCAACATCTTCCCTCTACCCCAGTCACAATATTTCCCCCTCTTTCCCAATCTTTTTTTTGCCTCCTTATGAGCCGCTAGTAGTCATGGTGAGTTTCCAACTTAAACAATGTTCAGTTGCCTCAATTGTCTTCTTCAAGCAGGGCACCATAACTACCAGAAATTAGCAACCATAACTCCTCACACAGAAAAATAAAGTTGAAATTTAAAATCACACATCCCCTACTCAAAGATTGCTCAGAAATCTAACCCAATAGCAACTCAAGCCCAAATCATCCTTAGTACTTGAAACGCAGTCATAGCCAATCTACCTATTCCCACGCTATACATGGACCAATATAATAGGTATATGTTCATCCATAGAAAGAAACTAATAGGCATTCATAATTTTTTATTTAATGATACTGCAGCTGGATTATTTTCATGTAGCAAATCTCTCCAAATGCACTTCCTTGTGCAGAATTATTAAATGTTCCTGTAGCAGAATTATTGTCAGATTTATTATGATGATACTGGTTCTATGGTTAACCTATATATATTGATGATATAAGTTGTAGAATGGTTTAATGATCATTATTTGGAAGGAGGATGATTAAGGTGATTAGCATATAATTGATTTCTCTTTGTTCATCCCAGCTTGTTGTAATCTACTAGTGTAGGGGTTTTGCTGGATGAGATGTGCCGAGCCATCCTTGCATACTACGCATAGCAGATTCTTGTCATGTGCATATGAGAAATGTGCCATAGCAATATCTTTGACAAGATTAAAATTAGCTCAATACTTAGAGTCATTATATATATATATATATATAAAATTATACTTCCAGAAATTCAGAAGGTAAATTCAGAAAGTGGGAAATGAGAAAAACTAGTCTTAGGTGAAAACAATACCTTTCCATCAGTAAATTGAGCCTTATATACACGTCCAAGAGAACCTTCACCAATAAGATTATCCACACTAAAGCTATTTGTAGCCACTTGCAGGTCTGCTACTGAATACATGGTTTTACGAATAAGAACAGATTTTGCTTTCTTCACTGGCATACTTTTTGAAAATTCATCTTCGTCATATGATCTATTTTTCCTATCCGTAGGTGGGGGTTTAAGACTAGCAGAGGTTGGCTGAAATGTAGTTTCATCCGTTGCAGATTTAAACATTGCTGTGTCGACTGCAGATGCTATATGTATAGATTTCAACTCTGTAGCAGTAGATTGAAAGAACGAATTTTAATCAGGAAAAAAAAAATAAACAAATTAAGCTTGGAAAAGGTTCTCAACGTTTAACACTATGTCAGAACTAACTTTCGGTAAGAGTATTTATTAGTTCTCAGTGTGTCCGGAACAGAACAGAAGCCTGCTTGTCATCCCCTTGACTGACTTGATTTGACAGAATTCACTAAGCTCGTTAGTGTGTTCAAATTTTTTGAGAATATTTTGAAAATTATATACTCGTTTTTTCTTTTAGTACTTATAGCAGGCGATATAATATTAAAAAGTTAAATTATTAATGCTAATGTGTGTTGCTGGGGATTATATCCACTTGATGAAATATTGAAATGTAATTATAATTGAAGCAATATTAGTTTTTCTTTAGTTGTGATACATAGGATATTATACTTTATTGCTTGTGTAATGCTTTTTCATAGAAAATATTAGCATTAAATATTTTGATTACACAATTTTATATTAAAAATTTAAAGAAGAAAATATTGAGTCCATAGCGTATTGTTTCATACCTTTTACAATTATATCATATTCCTGTGTCTATGATGTGTCATGTGTCTTGTTTTGGTGTATGTGCTTCATGGTAGAAGATGCAATGTATAAATTAAGACGCTTAATAGAAATTCAGCAAATGGAAAAAGAGCCTTTGGATAGTCATGAATCACATCTATGAAAGACGATGTTGCTAGCAACCCTAACGTAAGCCATGTAGTTTTGATCAAGAAATGATAAGTTCAAAAAATTAAGGGAGAATGAATTTACAGAGACCATTCCTTGAGCATCATTTCTCTATCAAGCATAAACTAATGTTTCAGAAACTTTAGTTCTTCCAGTAATCTTGTCCAACAAGCAGATTCTTGCAGAATGCATTGATCATCGGCAAGATAAAATAATGAATTAAACTAAAAAGTATATTAACTAGAACCAATTTTTGAGTTAGAAGACAAAAAAAAGCTTTCCAAAAAAAAATATGACAAAAATAGCATGCTGTTGTCAAATAACTAATGAATTCAAGCAAGTACTGCTAATGGCACTAGAATGAACTTATAATCATCTAATATAGATACAGTAACCTAGCCCAATCACCTCTTTAGGATAGTTTTATGGATATCATTCTGACAATAATTTAAATAATAATAAAAAAAAAACAAAGACTTCCAAACGCTGAATTTATATAGAATCTGCAAAGCTCAAGGCAAACATTTTATTGCAAATATCATATATGTGAAAGAAAATCCACTTTCAAGGAAGGTTCGAGCATCATTATTTTCATTCGGTTTTCACCACAAGCACTATTGAGATGCACACAATTATGCAAGTAATAATGATGTGCAATCTGTAACTTAATATAGACATTTATGTATGAATTAGTTAATTTTACAGGCTTGCAAATAACATGGCCAATCGGCGGCTTATTTGATACATCAAACTTCCTAATGAAGTTATAGGAATTAGCATGTTATGTTTATCTAATATGTATAAATGATCCTATGTTTTTATTGGGATCATCTTTCATTCAGCTCAGCTGTTTTACAACTGATGATGGATGATCAATTCAAACAATAGTACTATAGTGCTTCATGTATAAAACAAAAACCAAAATAATTGACCAAAAAGCTGATGTATTTAGAGAATTTTTGAATTTCTTAAACTAAGCTGCATAATTTGCTAAATGCATAAACATATCAAGCTTGACAAATGGCTTATCATTAATACCATTGGATGCAAGAGATGCAAAAGGTTGATCTTGTTCAAAATGATCTTCCCTTGAAAATTTCCTTGATTTCCTTCTCAACAAGAAGAATGCAATTATCGCACCAACTACAAGAATGGATATAATGATACCAGCAATCCCTCCCCCACCTATGCCAGAACTTTTACCACCACCAACAGATGGGCTATTGTTTCCTCCTGATCCCTGACCAGGGTTTGAAGGTATCCCTGGTGGTGAAATATACGGAGGTGGCGGTGGAGCAGGCCCCGAATTCCACGAGTTACCATCAGTCCTAAAAATAGTCAATTAGGTCCAATCTCGTACATTGGAATAGCTGATTGGTTGGTTATTGGCAGCACCGCATAAAATATATACTTACTTAAGATTATTAATTCCCTTCAATTGGTTAGGAATCCATCCCGTGAATCGATTATTTGCCACATTCCTAAGGAGCATCAGTATGCAAATTATCCATGGTATGCTATATGGAAATTTTCCTCATATCTAGCATCATAATGGAAACTGCAAGTACTTACAGGTCATTAAGGGGGAGATTAGCAAGTACATCTATAGGTCCCGTAAACTGGTTGTTTTGCAAATATCTATAAGAAAATTAACAGGATGAGCAGCATGGAACTTTTTAGGTGAACATAATCTCATTCATTATATATGTTAAAGATTATCTTACAGAGATTTAAGACTTGATAAGGAGCTGAAACTTTCTGGAATATCACCTGTAATGAAGTTAGAAGAGAGGTCCCTGCATCACACAAACATATTCACAATGAAAAACAAAAGAACAGGTGAAATAAAACATAAAAAACCAAATATATGCCCTGAGATAGATGAATTGTTCAACTGAAGAGTTAATTGATAGAAGCCATTTTAACATCTAACTACCACATGCTGAAGAATAGAAATGACATTTTTATCAACTGAAAATTTGCAAATGTCAAATCTTAGCTTAAGCATTATAAAAAGCAGGAATAAATTTGCATGCATTCCCTTGCTTGTCATTGAGATAATGCGCACCAAAGCATGCCTAGCATAGCATGAGAAACCAGGATGACAACTTAACAATGGTCAATATTTCAATGGTGTATTTAAAACAAAATGAAGGTTAAAGTGACAGTGGTTATGCCATTGCACCATGATGGGAAGGCACATATATGTTAACTGTCCAAAATTACTATGGCTCATCAAAATGTCTATCAAGGAAATATAACCATCCATCTATATCGAGAGGAATTATGATACTCACATGACCTCAAGATTAGGTAGTTGTCCAAACATATCAGACAAAGCGCTTCGAAGTTGATTATGTGCAAGATTCCTAAGTAAAGAGGAACTTTTCTGTTAGTACATGGAATTTTGACCATTTTTCCTTGAACAGGAAGAGGGAGAGAATACAATAAAAAACAACAAGCACCCTCACAGTTTTTGAAGAGAAGCCATCTGCGATATAGAATATGGGATGCCTCCATTAAATTGGTTCTGAGCAAGATTTCTGTGGATTACATCAGTTAATAAAAAAGAACTAGACAACAAGTACGAACATATAAATTATCACTTACAAATGCTGAAGATTCTGTGGTAGATTGTAAGGAATTGAATCTCCACCTCCAAGATTATTATTGCTGACATCCCTGCGTCACACATTACAAAATTAACCATCAGATCAAGCAATAGTAAAAATTAAACAATTTATATGAATATAAGCAGTTACAGGACATACAGCTCAACTAGGGATTTCAACTTGTCCATCTGGTAACCCAAATTCCCATTAAGCCCCAATCCTGACAGCTTGCTGATAGGGGAAAGACAGAACTTGCATCAAGCAAAGCAAAAAATGCATGCAAACAGAAAATACTCAAGTCACAAGTTTACAAACAAAAAATTCAAACCCACAGTTCTGTAACAGAAGAACCAGAGCATGTTATGCCCTTCCATGATTGCCCACAGGGATCACCCCCGCTTTCATTCCAGCCAGTTAACTGATTCGGTGAGTTCACGCTAGTGTAGAAAACATTGAGAGCAGATACTGCACATAGATCAGACAATAACATAAGAAGTCAACAGAAGAATCCGGACAGTAACCACCAACCTAGCTCAGGATTCGCAAGATCCAGTCTTGATCAAGTAGCAGAACCCTACTCTATGTTGTCATTATCTACTTGCCAGAATCGAGAACTAACAAAAAGAGGAATGGCACCTAGAACTTCTTATGTTAAAAGTAAAGAATCCAATACAATCTTGAAGCACACAAAAGAACAGTCTTACGACTCGCAAAAATCAAACATGCAGGACAGAATATGCAATGCGCACCGCTGCCTCCAAATCCATCAAAGAACTCGAAATTCAACATTAAAAGCTTCTGAAAACCTAAAAAGCTCACCGTCATCTGCATCTGTGTCGCCATTAACGGCGCTAGGAGTCCAAATCCAAATGCAGAACAAAATCGTCCATGCACGCATCATCTCTCTCTCTCTCTGCTCTGTACCTGTTATCCCTACTCTCTCTCTCTCTTGCCCACAACAAGAACTGCTGGAGCACCTTTTATCTTTCTGCTTCAGTAGTTGTTTTATACTTTTATGACTTAATGACCACCGAAAAATTGAAGAAAAACTTAGCTGGCAGTGAGCATTTTTTTCTTATATGTATCTGTTCAATCAGAGAATTCAACGGCCCAAAAATAGTACCGATGAAATAACACTTTATTTAGCAATGGAATGGTGTAAACGCGGCGTGCTCGATCCGTTTGCTTTTCAAACATTTCATGAGTAGGTTAATATCCAAGGCTTTTAAAACCGGACCGGACCGGCCGGTTCAACCGGTTGAACCGCGAACCGGCCAGCCGGCCGGTTAAGGTTCAAATGAGAACCGCTTTCAAAATTATATGAGTTGTTAAATTCAAATCAAATAAGTTAAACTATTTTTTTATATTTATAATTGTATACCCAAATGTACTTGGGACAAGTTCAAATAACTCAGTTGGAGATAAAAGAGTCAAAGATGATTATGACATCATTTAGGATGATTTTCTTGCTACTTCTTAAAGCAGTTTTTTAGTACAAAAATTTAATTTTGTGTACTAGAAAGTTGCTTAAAAAACGGTAAGAAAGTCATCCCAACGTCCGAATTTCTCTGTCATAGAAGATTGCAAATGCATAATGGTTGTCCAAGGAATTGCAATATGCAAGAAGACATTGAACATGTGTTAGTTAAATGTAAAAAGCTGGAAGGAATATTCCAAGAGTTAAACAAGTGGGGCTTTGATTTTCCTATGTTTCGTTCCTTGGATGAATACTAAAAATGGATACCTCTACAAAATTATTGGATGATCAATTTGTTTTGTAATGTCATTTATTTTTTATGGAAGGGAAGAAGCAAGCTAGTCCACGATGGAAAAGATGATAGTCCTCTATTCATTGCTTTGGAAGCTCTCAGCTATACTACTATTTCAACAAATAATTTTTCATATAAATCGGGCAAATGGGTTGCTAATCAGCTTCATAAGCTATTGGACAATCATTGACATCCCCTTCCACCCGACTAGATAAAGGTAAATGTCGATGCTTCTTTACTCAAATCCTATAAAGCAGGGATTGATGGAGTATTTCAAGACTTTAAAGGTAGATTTCTTTTGGCCTTTGAACACACTTATGTACATTGGGATATATCAAGACTTGAACTATTAGCTATTCAATCACTCAAGGAAGTAGTCAAAGATTGGATGCTAAATTACAAGGGGATCATCATTGAAAGTGATAATATAAATATCATCAAGCTTCTCCAAATGATTTTCTTCAAGAATAAACATGACTTGGGACTTGGGAGCTCCTTTCAAAGATTTCAATAATGTCATTTTCAATTGTATAGATAGAAATTGCAATAAATTAGCGGATCTTTGTGCAAATTATACAATTATTAGTTCTTTTATTTGGGAAGATTTAGTTTTAAATAAGATTCCTCCTACCTTTATTTCCATGTCAAAGGAGGAATCAAATGGGATTTGTTAGTTTTTTTGTCTAGTTTTTTTAATAAAATTTCAATGCAACTTGTTGTATTTTCTCAAAAAAAAAAAAAAAAAGGCCTATGATTTTGTTTAAGATAGTTTTCTTACTTCTTTTTAAAAGAGCTTTCTAATATAAAATTTGTATACAAAAAGCTATTAAAAAAAAACAATAGTAAAGTTATCCCAAACCAAGTCATAAGCACAAACTGCACTTATCTGAGGTCTGATCGAGGAAATGACTTTCTCATATGCTCTCTGCCAGTCTGCCTATAACGACGGAATTGTACTATCCATAGTTATAGTTTTATATAATAAAATTATCATAATACCATCAAATATTTATTTGCTTTAAGTTTATTTTTATATGTGAATGCTTCATCAATATAATGCTCTAATAGGCATCTTAAAGTGTATTTTTAAATGATTTTAGTCTTCAAATAATTATACAGAAAAAATGTTTAAAAGAAGTAATATGACTCCTTTGAATTATTAATAGAATGAATTTGACCTATGGTATTCAAATGGATTTCATTTTTTAGGCTAATTTTTAAAAATAGTAATCTCAAGAATATTTACTTAAGCACTTACCTTCTCCTTTTTGAGACTGAGACTTGACATATGAGGAAAAGGGAGAGAAGGTAAAAGAGAAGAGAGAGAAAGGGAATTTTAGAGGGATTAGGGTCATTTTCTTAAACAAGCTAGTAAAAAAAAATTATTATACACAAGGTAGGCTCTCGTTACCCTAATTTGGTTTTTGATGGCTTTGCTTTTTGTGTAATTTTTCATATTTGGCTTGTATAGATTATAAAAAAATTAAGATATCTGGATATATGAGCAATGTTCATTATATAAATTTTAATATATTTTTGCCCTATTTATTTTGCACATATTTATATGAGCATCTTGAGTTTTCGCTTAAGAGCTATTTTGATTTTAAGGTAAAAGAGATGTAAAGTATTTCAAATGTAGGGTTTTAAGATCATTTTGGTATATGGTTTGAATTAAAACAAATGCAATGTAAATTTTTGATGCATGTGGAATTCACACTATAGCCCATTTTTGGTGTATTTGATTTTTATATCATTTAAATTGTATTTATTACGTCATCCGGTTCGACCCCGGTTCGACCGGTTCAACCGGTTGAACCGTGAACCGCTCTCTCTACCGGTTCATTGCCCGGTCCGGTTTTCACAACCTTGCTTTTGTCGCCACCCTCCACTGTCATCGCCGACCACACTGCCAGCCACCACCACCATCGCCGTCGACCACCACCACCACCGTGACCCACCGTTGCTGACCACCAACCCCTTTAAACTTTGTATTACTCTCATTTTACTTCAACCTAAATACAAAAAAATAATCCCATGCATTCACTTTACACTCATCCAAACAACTGTAAAATATTTCATTTACACTGCATTACTTTTTTTAGCCAACCAAACAGCTCCTTAGTTTTTTTTTTCAATTGTGTAATATTTTAGGTTTCTCAACAAACTTATAAATGATGATAAAAATTGCTATGGTATATCAAACAGTCGCGCTTTGTAATTCATGCATATTGAAATGCTTAGAATGACGAATCTTATGACTTCTATTATTTTATCTTACATGTAAAGTTATATACGCTAATATGATATTATTTAAATTTATCACATTTATCAAAACATTAATTAATCAGTATCAGTGTGTTATAAAATATTTTTGAAAGGAAATGATAGATTGACTTTGGATTTCATATATATGTACTTTAAGGGAGGTATGAGGGCTTTAATGAATATTTGACAAATGTGAAAATGCATAGTAGGGACATGAGTAAGCCTACTTATGAATATGTGCGAAGTAAAAGGGCTTGAGAAAAAAATAATGTGGTATTTTGAAATTCTATTTATTCTTGTTATTTCTTTAAAATGTTAAGGATCATAAAAGAATATGATACTTATGATGTGAGTTAGTATGCTGACACCCTAAACTTAATAGAATATAATATGTGAATTATTAAGATTTTGTATTCTTTATCTTTGTTTATTAGTGCTACTGTAAAACTTTATGTAGTCATAACATACTTTATTGTGTATGATATTGTAATCGATTGACATACTTATTACTTTATATTGGAAATTATTGTAGGTTTCATATAACCTTTTTAAATTTTATGCTCACCCCTACTTTATCAACAAGTGTTGATTCCATTGAAAGAAAAAGGAAGGAGCAAGTTGATTAGAGATAGAGGTCGTATGCTTATATCTATCGGAATGTCTTTTGCTATATAGTACTTAATTTAATTTTTTTTGCAACCATGATGATATTGTATTATTATGAATATAGAGATGTGTATCATGATTATTTTATATATATTGACTCTTTTGATTGTATAGTCTTATGATATAAACTGAAAAAATATATATATTAATAATATCTATTTTACATAGTTGATAATATATATATTAATGATTTTGTGCTAGTATAAATAATAATAAAAAATTCTTCTAAATAGATCTTTGGTAATACCTATTGCTCATCCAATTTAATATGATACATTATAGTGTAAGAGTTTTGTTAGTTTGGGTCTTGACATGAATTCCTTGGTTACCAATTGCCCATTACTGCTTAAGAGTATAATAATGTGACTACCACTATAGGTTAGCCTAATTTGAGTAAGTCATGAGACTTTACATCTATGAGATGCTTTCAATGAATTTAAAAAAAGAGTTGAAGTAATCTAAGAAATCAAATGTTAGGTGAGAGACCCTTCTTCCGAAATATGTGTTCTGGAATGTTAGGTGAGGTTCCAAGGGGTTTAAAGGCCAAAGGATCGAGGAGATCCAAGACTAGGTATAAGGTGACCTAGTTTGGTTGATTTAACTAATTTGAGAATAAGCTTAAGGTGTGGTTAGGGAAGAGCTTGATGGTTGTTTTAGAGGTTATAATTGATGGGGTGTTAGAAAATGTGTTTAGATCTTATTTGGAGTAGATGTTGGAAATTTAAGAGGTTTTAAGGAAGGAGGAGTGAATCAAACTAGGTCAATGGAATATCTAGTTTGGTTGACAATTATGTAAGATACTTATAGGTTGTTTATGGGCTATGGGGACTAGGAAAAGATTTTGAGAGATGAGGTAGCTATAGGGAAATATTTTATTATAGTTTTAGGGGAAAAGGGATGGACCCAAGTCAAGCTTTAGGGTGACACACTTACTAATAATATATAATTGCATTCTGCTCTCCATTTGTATGTTTGCATAAAGTGTGAAGGCCTACGACCGTTTTGTTCTATGGAATAGTGCGATCATACCTTTGCATGCTGACCCTACAAGAAGTATCCTTTTCGAGACCCAACATATTATATATATATATATATATTATTATATTTCTTGCTCTCTTATCTTGAAGACTAATTAATTTCACTTTATGTGAACTTCTCATTGCATAGAAATGGATGATCTCCTTAAATTTTGACTAGTTTTAGTTTACTATAATTAGAAGAGAACTCTTTTTAATAATCTTTCCAAATTGTAAAAAATGTTTAGTTGATTTATCATCTCTCTGAAGCTAGCTCAATAGCCACCTCCTTAGAAATAGGGGCCTATTTTATATTCTTTGATCCCATTATTTCACATTTATACAAAAAAAAAAAGTCATAGAAGTTTGTAAG